CATGATCTTGTAAACCAGAGTGTATTTGGAGATTTTATGATATCAGAGTAAATTTTATAATTTGATCTTCAGATTTTGGTGGTATCAGAGTGTGATGTGATAAGTTCCGAGCCTTGTGCATTTGTGGGACCCATTTCACGAGTGCACGGCGTCTGTCGCATCTCGAAATTGGGTTTTGGGGCGTGACAAACATTTTCTCCAACTCCATTGTGTTTTCTAATCCATGATGCTTAAATTTACCATATTCCTTGTTCTCTTGTAATAAATATAACATATTAGAAGTTTAAAGTTAAAATTGACAAAGTAACATGCAAAAACTCAAAATCATTAACAATAAAGGAATAGAACTAACCGTTTTCAATTTAACTCATCATTGAGAATAGCATCAATTGTGCCTTTTTCATTATTCCACTCGACAGAATACCTAAATCCACCCCCAAAGCATAGTGGTAGGGACGAATTCATCCCTAAACAAAAAACGGGGAGAAATCCACCTACAAAATTTGACTTGGATAAATCATCCCAAATTTAATGTGTGACGTTATCTAACATCAGCAATTTGTTAATTTGATGTCATTTGACAATAGCGATCCATTATTAGCGACATAACAAATTGATGGATTGCTGATGTTAGATGATGTCATACATTAAATTTGTGGTGATATGTCCAAGTCAAAAACTTTATGGATGGATTTGTCCATGTTATTTATTCGAGGGTGGATTCCTCCCTACCACTATACTTTGGGGGTGCATTTGAGTATTTTGCCATTCCACCCTAATCTTATTTGTCACCTTAAGAGTTGATTCCACAAAATCCAATCATTTTTTAATGCATTCCACCAATTTCTTAGTTGTTTATAAGCATATTTCTTGTTTGTTCTTTCATTAAATTTTTTTTCCATATTCTGTCACCCTAATTTATTAAAAGTATTATTGAAATGATTACCGACATTGACCTCTTCCATACATATCTTGCAGGAAATTTTTGTTGTCATTGACTCCCACTATGCCTTTGACTTCTTTTCACCCATCTTATATATTAAAATAATTTTAGCCTCAAAACAAGATCTACAAACACAGACACAAATGTTAAATAATGGAAGTATGGATCCAAATAATAACACTAGAAACTAACAATATCTCAAACACATTATGCTTCTAAAAATTCAATAACTGCTCAAATATATATACTAAGAGAATAAGCAAAAACCACAACAAAAAACAGAATACCGCAACAAAAAGAGTTATCTGAATAACAACCTTCAAATTCATGCTAATTACTAAGTTCAAATACAACTTAACAAGATTCCAGAACATAAATATCAAAAAACAGGGCAATACTGCAATTGACATAATTATGCACCAGAAAACGTCTTATGCCAAACACCACAACAAGCGGCCACACTACATTCTTCTAAACGAAATCAGGGAGAGTGTAAAAAATAAAGTTCAGATTCTCCTTTGATCAATATGAATTAAATTATTTAAAAAAAGAAAATAAGAAGAAGAAGAAGATAATCCAATAGCACCAAAATTGATTTAATTGATTAAGAAAAGACCAAAAACAATACTTTATTATACTCTTCTCCACCTTTCCTCAGCTTTCTTCACAACAAAAATAATTTCAATAGAGAAGAAAAAGTTACTGCAAATAGGAGGTAGAGCACGAAAGCATCATGATTTACCAATTCTTTGCCACATACCCATGAAGCTTACTATCCAACAATAGAAACAAGTTAAAAACAAAAGAAAAGTGTCGAAAAATAGAAGAAAAATGCAAAAATAATGGCAAAGTACAAGACACAAATTCTTCTGACATGAGGAAGTAGAAAAAACAATAATAATCAATAAAAAATCTTCAAACAATCTTCAATCAAAAAGAAAAGAAAAAGGAGCAATGGGAGCTTACTAGTAGTGGTTTTGTAGATCTGGTAGCAATGGGTCCACGGTCTCACAATAAGTAACAAATCTTCAAGATTCTCAAGCTCGTCATGGTTTCACGGTAAGTAACAGCAATTAGGGATTTTCGGGGAGAAGACGAGGATTATTGTGGTGGTCTGGGGGGTCGTCGACAATTGTTGACAATCGTTGCATGGCCCAAATCTGGAAGAAGATGGAGAACGAGAAGGGATTTTCAGTTAACTCTCTCACCAACTCACACCACCAACCAACAATCATCACTCATCACCAAATTAGTAGTAGAAACACCAAAAAAGGAAAAAAATTCACAAAAAAGGAAGGAGACACACAGAGAAGAAGAAGGAGAAATGGGATTTTGGCCTTTTTGTTGGTTGAGTTGTGCTTTTCTGCTTTGAAGCAACTAGGGAGAAAGAAGGCTGGTGACTGACGATGGGGATTTTTAACTTTGCTTTGGAAGAAGATGGGCAATAAGGCAGGGAGAAGAAATGCAGGATTCGGCTGCTTGAGAAAAAAAAGAAATGGGTTATAAATGAAACCCTATATATATTGTTTTTTTTTTTTTTTAAGCAGCTAGGGAGAAAGAAGGCTGGTGACTGACGATGGGGATTTTTAACTTTGCTTTGGAAGAAGATGGGCAAGAAGGCAGGGAGAAGAAATGC